CATTTGTTAGAACCAATAACTAGAGAGCATCCCATCAAAGAATCCAGCTCTGACTTGGTGAGACTAGAAAGCTACTAAAGTAAGTTCAATAGAAAAACACTATACATAAAAAGGAAATACATAATTTAAAGAAGAAAAAATGGGGAGACTGAAAGCTGGAAAATCTAGGTTAAAGTCTTAGGTCTGTCCTTACCAATTTTATAATCTTGACTTAAATTCTGAATTGTTAATTGTAAATGATGGAAACATGATTTGCCCTGTATCAAACTGAAAATATTATAAATGTTAGGGTCGGGGATTTAGCTCAGTGGTTTCACCACCTGCTGTGCAAGCACAAGGACCCGAGTTTGATCCCCGGTACCAAAAATAAATAAATAAAAATATAAATGTTAAAAAACTATACTACCATAGGATATCATTACATGAGAGTATTTTACCCAAAAGGAAATGTATACTATACATAAATACAGAGTCCAAAAAAATGTATACACACTTCAGCAGTTCACCACACTAATAAATGTCTGGATGCTAATGGCCACCACTTTCAGCATTTCCTATAATTGTATGCCAAGGTAACTTGCATTAATCACATGATGTCTCAATAAATTTAGTATTAAAATATTTATGCAAGTTTTTCTTTTCCTGGTATACATATTTTTTGGCAGACTCCATGTATATCTTAAATTTTTAACTGTTGATTTCAAAATTTCAATTCAAATAGCACTACTCTGAAAACTCCTAATTATTAAAAGAGAAAAGAGCATGTCTTCAAATAAAGCTTTAAAACATCATCAAAACCAAGTTTTAACACTGTGGCCAAATAAAGTTGTTTCCTGTTCATGAAAATGTGACATGGTCAATAAGCAATCCTATGATAAAAATTTCATTCTTTCCTTCTTTCTGTGTGTGTGTGTTTTGCTGGGGATCCAACCCAAGCCATGCCACAAATGAGGCAAGTGCTCTACCACTAAGCAACACCCTCAGCTTGGTAAGAACCATTTCTAATAATTCTGTCAGGCAATTAAGACACAAAAGAGTTCTTCCAATTACCTCTGCAGAACCATTGATGTATCTTGCTGTTTCGGTGACCCATATCACTTTGGGAGGCAATTCACACCCATTTTTTTGGTAACTCTTAGAAAAGGCAATGACATAGGTACTCTCAGAGACTTTTCCAACTTTTTGCCCTAGAATCCTAATGCTCCAGAGAAAAATATGTAAAATCCATCATTTATAGGTTTATGAATGTTTACCTCAAATTTTATAAAAGTACTTACATGTCAACTCAATGTCATATAGTATGTGTTAATAAATGGAAATCACCAATGTGTTAAGTGGTATTTCACCAATCTAACACACTTTTGCAATGATTACAAATAAAATTTCTTGGGCTGGGGATTTAGCTCAGCGGTTCCACTGCCTGCCTCACAAACGCAAGGACTCGAGTTCGATGCCCAGTACCAAAAAAAAAAAAAAAATTAGAATTTCTTTTATTAATGCACTGAATAAATATGAATATATTATAACTGCTATTAATTAGGAAAACTGCAGCTTTATACATTTTTAAAATTTACTTTGAAAAAAAATTTTACTTTGGACTCATGTTGACACATGTAAAACTGTACAAGTGAGTGCTGCACCACATACCTATATGAATTAAGATTTTATAATGAATAACTGAAAGAAAAGACAAAAATGTAATTATACAAAGCTAGCACTGTGGTTCTTAACTCCAATTTTAATTCTGTACTTATCAAATGACTGGCTTTACAAGAAAGTGTCACAAATAATTTCACCTTGCAGATAATGATTCATGTAACTTTGAAAATAGTAAACTTTTTTTTTAAACAAAAGCATTATATGGCAACTCTGGCAGAAAATATATCACTAATGAAAATGCTAATTACTAGGTATATGCATATAAAGTTAAACATTTCCATATTGACTCTAACAATTTAAATTAAACAAGCTTAAAGCTAAATTCATTGCTAAGAAAATTTTATTACATCAAAAACTTTCATTTATCTGCAAATGAAAAACAACAACAAAATCCATAAGCCCTAGACAAAACAAAGGTCCATTTATTTCAATGAAGACTCATAACTTTCCTACCTGTACTCTCCCTGAAAATACTGTTATGGAATCTGGCCTAAAATCATTTACTAAGTCCACTGCAAGACCATTCTCTGCTGCCTACCTCTCAGAAGAAATTCTATCACTAAACTCTCAGGAATAGAAGAAAGCACATAGGAGGATTGGATATACAGTATTTTAGGTATGAATGCAGCAATCAATACAGACTGAAAACAGTAATATGACATTTCTACCACTTTTCATATGCTCATTCCAAACACTGAAAACTATGAGTCTCCTCGTCTCAGAACTTACAAAGCAACCGAATGAAAGTTATCCACAGAACTACTTATATTGTTTAAGGATGTTCAGTATATTACATAACTATGAACATAGTTTGTGTTTTAAGCTTTTTTAAAAAAAGAAAGAAAAAATAGGAGGCTAAAGAGTAAAAGATTACCAGAAAAGGAAGGGAACAAATGTGTTAATTTAACTACAAAATAATAACAGGATGTTACAGAGTTCTAAATATCCAAAGTGACCAATCAGAAACTAAACATAGCCAAATTCCATCCCAGCCCCAGCACGTCCCTAACACAAGAATAAAACCCTTCTTATCTTGTTCAGCCATGTGTCGCCTGCCACAAACTGCAAAACAGAACAACGCCCAAAACCAGCTAGTCTGATTTCAACTGAGGACAGACAGACTCTGTAGTCAGAAGCACCACAATGAAAGAACTCCAACTCACACAGCTGGCCTGATGGTTCGGCACACTCTACAGAACAAAGACATCCCACATAGAGTACTTCAAACTTGAAATGATCTCTAAAAAGCTACACTGGCACTATTAATTTGCCAGTAGTCCTAGAATCAACAAAATGTACCTAACATACATTGGAGTTAGTGAGAAAAAGAGGATGAGATAGGCAGGACTGAGAGGAAGACAAATTATTCCATATTCATAACTTTGTTAAGGCACTCTGGTATAGAAATAATGGTAAACCAGTACTTCCAGATTTCACTCAATATACATTAAAATCAAGAACAACCACTCTCAAACAGAAATGGCTGCTCTGTATTTATGGACCATCTAGATATGTTTAAGAAAAAGTAGTGGTTATATAATCTCATTTTAAAAATAACAAATTTCTAGAAAATAGATCTCGGCAAAATTAAGCAGCTCCTTTTAATTATCCTTTAATGTATCTTTTATCTATGTAAAGTTGGGCAGGACCTGAACTAGCTCAAGAATATCAATCCCAAAGCAACTTGCAGATTAATCTTACAATACTAATCTTTTAATCATTCATGTCTAGAACACTACCTGGCAAAGATCAGGCTTTCAATAACTGCATGCTTACTCAATGTTATATGCTATCTAAATTATAAAAGAGACACAAATCCCATATTTTATTTCTAAGACAATGGAAAGAAGAAAAAAAATCCCTGAGAAGCAAAGCTCTAAAAATCAGTGTTTGGGGTCTTTGAAGTGACTTTTGTGTGAAATGAGTTGGTGGCCTTAAATTCTGTTTCTACAAATTAAAACATCCCAGCTTCAATGAATATCATCATCACATCAGTTCCTTGTAAGACCTGTTGTCTAGAGACTCAACAAAAAAGGCAAGAATTAAATGAACCAGGAAAACAATTATTCACACACAGGTGAAAGTGATTTCTCAGAAGCAAAACACCCTGAAAGCAAAAGAAATGGGGATAACTAGAAAAAAACAAGAAAAGCATTGTCATTACTCGTGTCAAGTATATTCTAGAAAAATTAAAAATCATCTCACTGAAAATGAAAACCCATTTAACAAAATATGCAGAGGATAAATAGAAACAGTTTAAATATTTAATGGAATCTTTTAGGTGAACATTCATGTGACACTGGAAAGTATCAACAGGAAGAGGAAGTTCTGTTTCTGGAGTAGCTGTTATGGTATGATAATGGGATTTGGCCCTTTTAAAATCAACAAATGAATCTCACAATTGGATGAAACACTCTTATTAAGAAATTAAATTACTTTCTGCAGGAGCACTGTTGTTGCACTTTTCATCAAAAAGCTTTGGCTTTCTAGTTCACTTATTTAATTTTTTTATAATGTAATAGCTTCAAGGTTGATTTAAAAATAATTCAAGCTGACAGAAATTTGGGAGCAGCGTATAGCGTCATACTTTAACTCAGTAAAGGAACTCCATCTCAACCATATAAAGTCTATAAACATCACCATACAACACTGATAAGCAAACAATGTTCACATGCACACTTCCACCATGCTTAGGGTTTACATTCCTAAGACACAAGTGTTTCTAGAAAATTAAATATTAAAACATAATAATTAAAAGCAAACCTCATGATTTTCCCTAATTTCTTTCAGCTTTCCGATACCGCCTCCAACAAGCGCCTGTGATTTACTGGCAATGTCAACATTCGGAAAAATTATTAGACAATAATTATACACTATGCGGGTAAACACTCAGATCAAGTGCACAAATCGCCACGCAGTGGGCTGAAAATTAAGCTCACAGACTGAAATTCCTAAAATCTAACAATATCTAGAGAACTACTAAGGACAGGAGTAAATCTGATGATGCACCAATAACCACCGACTTCAGGCAGTGACCTTCCTCTGGTTACAAGATGAGTACAGAATCCTAATGCACACTAGAAACAGAAAGCCACCGTCGCGGTTTTCCCCACCTCTTCTCTGAGAAATCTGGGGGGAAAGTTTCTCTCTAAAAAAATTACATTTCCAAATTCAATCAACAGGAGAATTTGGCAACAATCCTAGTCTAATTGCACAGCTCGGAAAACCTCTTTCCTTTGCCTGTCAATTTCACGGGCCAAAGGCAAACTGCAATCACTGACCCTCCTGCAGGATCTGGCCAAATTCTGAGGGGCGAAGCGAAAGAGGAACTTCATACCCACCTGTCGGTGATAGTAGACTGTGTGCCACTCATTGGGGCCCTTGGCAAGAGGTTCTCCTTTTATCCAACTTGCATTTTACAAAAACACCTCAACCCCACACCCAGTGCTCTGGGATCAGGCTCAATTTCGACAGGGACACAAAAGTCCAACTCAAAACTCCATTCAGTCATCTAGAACATCCGATTGAAGAAGTCAAGGAAAGGGGATGAGGGCTGGAGCAAAACAAGTTATCTCTCGAGACAAACCCAGAAAGTCAGCCAGAAGGCGAGTTCTAGAGCTAGCGATAAATCTTCCAGAAAGCAGAGGAAAACTTGGAAAACTTCGTCAGAGAAGGAAGTCCGCGAGCAGTGGAAAGAGGACCCGGGACTCCCTCCGGGGTTGGGGCGCGATCGGCTCAGGAACGGGCGTCGGCTCCTGCTCCGGAGTCACGGGGCACCAAACTCCCCGCCGCGACAGGGCCAGGCCCTCAGGTCCCCGCTCTCTATCTCGGGCCACCGGCTGCTCGCGGTCGAAGCGTCGGCCGCCTCTCGGGCCGTACCGCGCCGGGCTCACGCCGCCCCATGTCCCCGGGCCCGGGGCTCCCTCTCGTCTTCCTTGGTCGCCCCCACCCGGCTCCGGGCGCTGGAACCAGCCGCGAGTGCCAGGGAGGGAGTCCCGCAGCCCGAGGTGACAGGGACCGGGTCTCTCAGTGCCGCGGGCTGCTCCCCATCCAGGAGAGGCCGAGACTCTTCCGCAGTCGGCACAGGCGGCGGCGGCTCCTCCCTGACGCTCCGGTAGGCGGCGGTTCCCGCGGGGAGCGGGACGTCCCTGTCCGGCACGGCCTGGAAGTCCCGGCCCCGGAGTGGAGGCGACGGCGTCGGCGACTCCCAGCGCAGGGCCGGCTCGCCGGGTCCTGGGGGCCCTCGCGGGAGCGCGCGTGACGGGCGGGGGAGGCCGACGGCGGTGGGGGGCCGCTCGACAATTGCGGGCGCGCGCGGGTTCCGGTTCCGGTTCTGTCTTCCCGGCCCCAGCGCGTCCGGCGCGAGCGCGAGCGAGAAGCTCGTCCCCTCCCCCGCCGACTTTTTAGGCTTCCTCCCCTGTGGCTCCGGGAAACCGCCTCACCCGGATCCCTCCGCCGTTCGCCCGCCCTGCCGTTCGCCCGCCCTGCCCTTCGTGGTCTCGAACCTCCCCGCGCTGACGCCTCCGCCAGAGCCTCGTTTGGGGGAGCGAAAAAGTAGTTCTCCCGGACGATGGAGGTAGCTGCGGCCGTCCCAGCAGCCGGCCGGCCGTTGCCCCCGGGGCCATTGAGTGCTCAGGACACGCACTTTGGAGTGTGTACAAGTCAGCCTTAGCCCGGGCCCACCATAAAGCACTCCCAAAGTCCCGAGGAGTTCACATCCCGCCCCCCTTGTCCTGGAAACTTTTATTCCTTGCGGGAATGTACTCGGATCCCTGTTTTCTGACTACACGTATGGAATGGTTTGGTCGCTGTACGCCAGTCCTGGTCCAGATGCGCGGACAGCGTCCCTCTCGTGAAGCAAAGCCCCGCGCGTGGACCGCTCACCTGGCACCTGCCGGCTAGTCCCGCGACAGGGCCCCCGCGCACTAAGCCCTGGCTGCCGAGGGAGGGCTGCAGAAGGCGGGCGCCAAGGGCTGGGCTTGCTGTGGAAAGAGTAAGAAGAAGAAAATGAAGTACAGTGTACGAATCCAGTAAATAGAATTAGGCGTCTGTCTGAAGAGTTCCCAGATATTTTTCCAGTTTTTCTACAGAGTACAGACAGATACTCATCTAGTTTTATGATTGAATAGTTGAATGTTGTGGTAATTGAAGTACCATATACGATATAGTTCTCCAATTCTGTCTGCAAACGTCTAAAGTGGCTGGCTTTATCCAGCTATTTTCAGACTTCTGAACCTAAAGCGGCGTCGGTAGTAAGGGACTTCAGCCATTTTGTGGAAATCCAATCTAATAAACAGTGGATGTGGACAGAGAAAACAATTAGCTTTTAACAATGCTGTTCTAAAAGTCATTCCACAACAGTTCATGAAAGGATCATTATCCCTGAATAGATGCATGAGCTCAGGCTGACGTTAGAACAGGGTAAAAAAAGAAAAAGATAAACAAAGGCCAAAGATGACTATTGCTGGATTTTTTTTTTAAATCCAGAGCACAGCCAGCTAATTTTGTAATGTTTATTTTTGGAAAGAATAGAAGCCGATTAGGGTTCCAAGCCACTTTCCTAATGATCGGATCTGGACATATTGCCACCTGCTGGTGTATTCCAACATGACAATTTTTATCCTGAAAACTCTCCCAATTGTACATACAACTGCAACGAGTTCCATTTGTCCATATACGAGCAAAATGCAAGTCTTATCCCCAAACTTCAATAAAGCTTTGTTAAGTATACTAAAAGTCTTATTTTCCTTGTTCTAATGATGTTACCACGGAAGTATCAAATGACTTGGACCCCATGACTTATCAATGAGTTCCCATCTTCCCTTCAAGTATGTCTTCAGTGCTTAAGCTTCAGTAATAAAACTCACTGGGAAAGTTTCCTAATTCACCTTCTCTTCCTTGCATACAAAACCTCTTGGCAAGCTGCTTTCAAAATCTTTCCAAACTTAACAGACCCAAGGTTCTAGCTGTGAGCAAAGGAAGCTTCAGAAGATGGTAAGCAAAGGATTGAATACCAGTGGTTATTCATTCCAGAAAAAAAAATTAATGATGAAAATCTCCATAGTCAACCACAAAGCACTAATGACAAAAACATCCTCTGAAAGTTTCTTGGCAACTGCTGGCAGCTCCATTGTTCTAAAGGCTCCATCTAGGGAAAGCCTTCAGAAGACATGTAATGGGTAGGTAATGGGTCAGTCTGGTACCTAGAGAGGTGAGACTGCTGACCAATCCATTGGACAGATTAAGGAAGGTTTTCAACATGTTCTCGGTCTTCATCCATTCTTTCAACGTACTTATTAAGTACCTACTATGTGTCCAGAACTGTTTTAGGGATTGGAAGTACAGTTCTCAGAACCAGAGCCCCTGTCTTCGTGGACTCATTCCACATCATTATTGTCAAGGCCACTGCCCACACAGGTGGCATAACAAAAAAGAATTCATCTCTTCTTCAGCAAACTATTTTATGTATGTTGATTACTACCAAATGAAATAAAAAATAGTAAAGACAATTAAGCAACAGATTATTGATGTTTCAACAGTAATTATGAGTAGTGATCAGTATTTCTACAGTCCAAAGGCTTTTAAAAAAATTCTTGGCCATGGGCCAGGGATTTAGCTCAATGGTTTCGCCGCCTGCTGCGCAATCGCAAGGACCCGAGTTCGATCCCCATAACCAAAAAAAAAAAAAAAAAAATTCTTGGCCAAACCACAACAAAGATATAAGAGGCAGACTCTGGATTTATAAAAAGTTATTTTATTTTTATAAAATTTAGTACAAATCCTATAGAAATATAAATTATTCTTCAACAGTGTTATTATTACATAATAATCCATATGCAAATGAATATTTTATTTTTTCCAGCCATAGCACAGTAAACTTTATTTACCCGTGATGTAAAAAGTTAACATTTTACAATGAATCATCTTCATTTCACATTTTTCTCTTAGAGAGTTTTCTTTGTAGTCATTAGCTACAACATCAAGAAAAGCTGAAATGAGGGATTCCCTTCCTCTTATCATTTATCCAGGTTTCGCACTATCTAAAAAGGAAAAAAATCCTACATACATTACCATGAAATGAGTGCCTCGAATAGCAAGATCTGCAGTCCCTTCACTTCTGAAGGGTAAGAGAAAAAAGAATTGGTACCAGATTTGGCCTGTTCATTTGTCTGGTATGGAACAGGGTACACTGTGCCAAAATTCAAGAGCCAGCTAGCTTGCTTGCTTTCTCTCTCTTTTTTTCTTTCTTTCTTTCTTTCT